TTTCATTCATAAAACTTTACTTATGAAGTTATATTAATAAAGTGAACAATTAAAAACAATTTCATTCATCAGTTCTACAAAAGCCTTGAAGAGATGTGTGATTTGGTTACTCAGGAACAGTTCCTGAATATGTGCAGTGATGATGTAAAACAGTATTTGTGGAACAAAAAGGTGAATGCAGTGTGTGAATTAGCTGGGTTTGCAGACTCTTATGAGCAATCACAAACTGCAATTAAAGATAAACCACTGGTAGAGGGGTACAGGGTTGGTGGAAAGCAGAATCATCGTTTTACCCCTGGGAAAAAAGGAGGCTGGGCGTTCACCTCCCCGTTCCCGTTCCTCATCCCAAGTCTCCTGTACAAGCAGAGAAGCCCAGAAGGTGCTATCATTGTAAGTCCACTGAGCACCTGAGGAATAAATGTCCTTGGCTGAGTGGGAACAGGCACAGGTAACACATGAAGCTGCTGCATCTCAGAGCACAGGGGTATCCCAGACTACTGCCTCTAACCACACAGGATTTGTAAAAGTTGCTTCTACCCAACCAAGCAGTGAGCATATGCATGCTGTTAAGCTTCATGAAAAAGTCCTCCAAGGTTGGAGGGATACTGGTGCAGAAATTTCTGTGTTCAAGAGGGACCTGATCCATGAGAAGGATTTGTTACCAGGAAAAATGGAAGAATTAGAATTGGTGGGAGGTTACAAAGCCCTTGCACCTTTAGCTAAGGTACACATGGAAACTGGTGATTTGCAGGCTCAACTAACTTATGCAGCAGTGGCACACAATTTTGCACTGTTTCTACTGGGGAATGATTTTTTTGATGTGGCAGAATCTGTCCCAGGGTTTGTCAGCAGCAAGACGGAATCTTATGCTGAAAGCCTCAGAGGGGAGGGTTAAGTCACATGTGCTGCTAGGGAAATAGGAGAGTGTCTCTTTAATTCCTTGGTAGCAGTGGAAAATTGGCCATTGGGGGCAGGGATGATCTTAACCAGATCCTGTAGCCTAGGATTCAGGGCAGGTCCCTGCGGGAAAGGCTGGATAAAGCGAGCTCCTGTCATGTGATCATCTCCCTGGGGGAGGGGGATGGTCCACCTTGTAACAGGGAGGCCTTCCCAGCTGCTGACTGCCAGGAAGTTGTAATTCAGCAGGGGACAGGCCCGGACCTAGGGTGCACAGAGACATGTATCCTGAAGTGGAAGTTGGGGTCCTGGTGACTGCTGCAGTGGGAACAGACCCCAAGGACTCTGTAGCTGGAAGCAAGCCCAATCTGAGTGAAGGGGGCAGGAGTTGCTGGCCAGTGAAGGGTCTGTCATAGCTGGTAGCTATGAGTCCACAGCTGGATCAGGGTCACCTTCCCTTTTGGGGAACTCAGGAGTGTCTGCCTCAGAGGGGAGCCCAGAAAGGGAAGTCCAGAAGGAAGGTGAGGGGGAACAGGAGGGTCTGCCCACCTTTTGTAGGAAGGCTTTTCCCCAGGAGGAGGGTGAAGGATCTGCATCTGAAATGCCAGACCCCCTCACCTGTCGATCAGGTTTTAAGGGAAGACTGGGGGTCAGATCTTCTGGAGGCGAGAGTCCACCCAGCTGATCTTTTGGGAACAGAGAGTGGAGTGACCGAAGGGATCTTACCAATCCAAAGCACTCCATTGAAAGATGTTGTTCCTGCTATGTTTGTAAGAGATAAAAACCTGTCTCTTCAAGGCAGGAGGAAGAAACTTTGCATTTGGGAAACTTCACAAGCGGGTGGGGTCCAACACAAAGAGATTCCAGAGGGAGGGGCGAGGGCAGGCATGTTTGCGGTCCACCCTTTCCTTGCCAAATCCTCAAACACATGCCTTAATTGAGAGCCTTCTCCAAAGAGACAGAAGAATCTGTGTCTAAACCCCTACCACGGTACACAAAGGGGTTGGGAAATGCAACAGATGCTGAACAAGCTGAACTGTGTGAACAGAGCCTGTCCACCATAGATTTGCTGCTTATCTCATGTCTTTTGCTACTTCATCTATGGGTCAAGACAAAGGAGTTGATGCTAATAACAAACACTGAAAATGTGTGACATACCTGATTTGTGGAAAAAGCTTTTGTACATGCTAGGGATGGTGACAAGACAGTCCCACAAACACGTTGCTTTTCAGCTTATACCTGTTGGAATATAAACAGGTTGGAAGCTTGGCACAGCAGCAAAAACATAACAGGCCTAAACTACTGTGTGGAAGGGGAAACTGAGGCACACCGCCTCATGGATTGGTGGCTAAATGCCAAGACACCTACACTTTAACAGATATTGCTATCTGCATTCTGCTAGCAATAGTACACCCCAACATTTTTTCAGGCACCCAGGGACCAGGAACCCCAAACCTTGCTAGGACACCTATGAATGACATCAAAGGGTTTAAAGGTACTGGAAGGGGGTGTGACCAGAAACGAACAGGGATTTTACACATACTGCCTCCGCCATGGACAGTGTCCAGGACTCTGGCAGCAAGTTCGGGAGGAGGGTGTTACGTTGCATTCCATATGTTTTATGGAAATATGCTAATGAGTGTGAATATAATGTAACTAGAACATGCTTTATGCAAAAGATCTCTTGTAAGGTATCATTACAAAGCTTATAATCTACTGCGTGTGTTCATCCTATTTGTATGAATGTATCATTATTCTATCTGAAACTAGGAATATGAAGTATAACTCTGGAGCCCTATTGTAATTATGCAAAGTGTGGGCCATTAATGGTGTTTTTGAAGCTGGATGGCTTGCATTAACTAGGACAATTGCCTGTAAATAGCTCTGTTTACTTGCAAATCCTCCTGGGTGCCTGTGGGCCAGCCCTGGAAGAATGGAGGCTGGGGTCTCACAGGACATGTGACCATGTACCTGGTAATGAAATCCATCTTAAATCTGGTATCTTTCCATTTAGAAGGAGGGATGGGGACCCAGAGAGACAAAAAATTCCCATCTTGTGCCAAAGCTATAAAAGGGGTGGAACAGAACACAGGGGATGCCAGTCATGAGAAAACCCCTAGTTACCACCTGAGCTGGAACTAACAAGGACTGTACGAGGGGCAAGGATTGGGCCCAGACTAGGAAGGAGTCTAGTCTGTGAAAGAAGCTTATTGGAACATCTCTGAGGGTGAGATATTACCTGTATCAGTTTCTTAATGTATTAGGCTTGGACTTGCATGTTTGTGCTTTATTTTGCTTGGTGACTTACTTTGTTCTGTCGGTTATTACTTGAAACCACTTAAATCCTACTTTTTATGCTTAATAAAATCACTTTGGTTTATTAATTAATCCAGAGTAAGTGATTAATACCTGGGGGAGCAAACAGCTGTGCATCTCTCTCTATCAGTGTTATAGAGGGCAGACAATTTATGAGTTTAACCTGCATAAGCTTTATACAGAGGAAAACGGATTTTGGGGGGGGGTTGGATCCCATTGGGAACTGGGTGTCTGGGTGCTGGAGATAGGTTACCTGCTGAGCAGTTTTTGGTTAAAATCTGCAGCTTTGGAGGCGTAGACCAGACCTGGGTCTGTGTTGCAGCAAGCTAGTGTGTCTGTCTCAACAAGGCAGGGTTCTGGAAGACCCAAGCTGGCAGGGAAAACGGGCTCAGAGGTAATTCCAGCACATCAGGTAACAGTCCCAAGGGGGAGGTCTCTGTGACTGAACCCGTTACAGCTACCTCCAACCCATCTATCAGGTACTGGTCAAGGCCCCTGCTTCACCCTCCAACACGTGCACCGTAGCAGGCTTTGCTGCTAGATTGGTATAGTGAAAGTTACCTAAAACCATAAAAAATGGCCATAGAAGTCAGACCAATAGTCTATCTAGCTCAGTACCCTGTCTTGTGCCAGATGCGTCAGAGGGAATGACCAGAACAGGGCAATTTTCCAGAGATCCATCCGCTGTCGTCCAATCCTAGCTTCTGGCAGTCATAGGCAGAGACGCTGAAACTTGGGAGGCCAAGGGGCCATAGCCCTCCCATTTTTGAAAGTGGACGGGCCTGTCCTGTCCCTTTTTGCCCAGGGCCCTCCTCTTCACCCACGAGGTCCTATACCCCGGCCAGGCCAGAAGCTGGAGCCCAGCCTGGGTAAGAGTGGCCCAGGGAGCCGTGGGGAGCTGTGGACCCTCTGTCCGCCTAGGGTGAGTGGGGTGCCTGAGAGCGGCCCCTGACTGGTGTTCCCAACCCCCTACCCAGGGCAGATGGAGGATCCCTGGGTCCCCACACCTGCCTGCGCAGTTTTCCATGGCCTGGCTGTGGTTCTTTGGTCCCCAAGGCCCCATCCTCAGCCAGAAGCTGGAGTCTGATTGGGGTAAGTGCCAAGTGAGCAACTCGTATCAGAGGGGTAGCCATGTTAGTCTGAATCTGTAAAAAGCAACAGAGGGTCCTGTGGCACCTTTAAGACTAACAGAAGTATTGGAGCATAAGCTTTCGTGGGTAAGAACCTCACTTCTTCAGATGCAAGTGGGCAACTGTGGGGAGCCACAGACCCTCCATCTGCCCTGGGCGGGGGACCCATGGACACAAGCCAGGGGCTGCTCGCAGGCCACCCCCACCCTGGGGGGGATGGAGGGGCCCAGGCTCCCCAGTCCAGCTCCGCCAGGGGGTAAAGCCTTGGGGGAAGAGAAGGGACAGGGGGCCCTCAGACCCCCCTCACTTTTAGGAAGAATCGGTGGCCCCTGCTCAGAGATTTAAGGACACTCAGGGTATGCAGTTGCATCCCTGACCATCTTGGCTAATAGCCACGGAGGGACCTCTCCTCCAGGACCCTCTCTCATTCTTTTTTTAGCCTGGTTACGCTTTTGGCCTTCACAACACTTACACCGAAGGATTGGCTGCATGAGCATCTCACGCGGTACCCACAGCGCCCATTGATTTCGATGGGACTTCTAAGCACACAGAGAAGGCAGGGTCCGCCTCGCACCGAAAAGGGGCCGTTGGAAACCAGCGAGGAAGCCGCCAGGCCGGAAGGGAGACGCGTGCATGGCGTGCCTGGAAAAAGCTGGTCAGGGTTTCGCTGGGGTGGGTGGATGGGTGGGGTGCGGTTGGGGCGCGGCTCTCGCCGGCTTTCCCGTGCCCACAAATACCTGCTTCGACACCCCGGCTTTTCAGGCTCCGCCGTGCGGACGCTGCTTGCCAGAGCGGGCGGGCGGATCCCGGACCGAGCCAGGGATGGAGCGGCTCGTCCACGCCGCCTTGGCGCGGCTGAGCCAGGAGGAGCTGGCGCGCTGCGCGCTCTACCTGCGGAGCTCGGAGCCGGCGCGCGACGCCCGGGCCGAGCTCCAAGGCGCAGATGGGAGCCTGGCGCAGCGCTACGCGGGCCGGGCCGCCGAGGTGCTGAGAGAGGCGCTCCGCGACACCAGCGAGGCGCTGGCCAGGCAGGAAACGGCGGGAGCAGCGGCAGCGCCAGGTAAAGGCAGCTGGCGAGGGCGGAGCGTGAAGGGGGTCGGGCTGCAACCGGAGCAGCGCCACCGAGTGCGAGCGAGGCGCTGATCCGGGCTAGCTGGCACCCGCCACAGCCCCCTCCCCGGCCCACCTGCCGCAAGCCCCGATCCACGCCGCGGCGAAGGGCCTCTCGGAGCTGGAACGGAGCCGGGAATCCGCCCCCCTGCCCAGACAGCCCCCACCCTCGGGCTAGTGCGGGGGGCTGCAGGATTCCAGCCCACTGCCTATCAGCTCAGTGAGCAACCCCCCCCCCCTTCAGTCCACGTCTGTCTCTGTGTGTGTGTGGGGGGGTTAATATTAAATACCGAACCACAGCTTTCACCCCCCAGCCACAAAACAGGGGTCTATGTTTAAACAGCCAGGGGAGCCATCCAGCTCCCCCTGCCCTGTCTGTTGGAGTGGGCAGCTCTCTAGTTTTGCTGAAGAATTAGACAAGACAGAGGGAAGCAGGGCCCTGTGTTTCAAAGCATGAGAGAGGTGAGTGAAAACCCAAGAGATTTGTTAAAATAGGAAACCCAGGGGTGCGTGAGTAGGTACTGACAGTGCTGGAGATAAAGCTCCAATAGTACGTGGTCCCATTCTCACAGTCGCAACAGAATTATATTGTTCTGGCAAGCTAGCCCGCCGGGACTCTATTTCTTTCCTGTAGGCACAGCCCCGGTACATTATCTCTGGATCTCACAGATTCAAAGCCAGTTCATACCCGCAGGCACTATCAACCATTCACACTGAAAACTAGGACATCTAACCAAGTGAATTATGTAATCCACAGGTTGAATCGGCTGCTAGTGAAAATGATGGCAAAACTCCCACTGACTCCAATAGGAGCAGGATTTCACACCACACCTGCAAAACTAAGCAAGGCTCATGAACAGACATTTGTTAATAAGAAATAAGAAAGACTGTGCCCAGGCTGGAGATTTACATGGCCAATCCCAGTATTATAGCTTTCCTTTTGTGTTTGAGAAACTAAACTGAAAACTTAAAAAGAGGATCCCAGAAATAGACTGTAAAGATGCACTTCACCTGACTAAGACAGTAATTGAGAGAGACAGGGTGGGTGAGGTAATATTTCTTATTGGACCAATTTCTGTTGGTGAGAGAGTCAAGCTTACACATAACTCTTCTTCAGGATATTACCTCAGCTACCTTGTCTCTCTAATGTTCTGAGGCCAACACAGCTACACCACCACTGCAAACCACAGCAATGACAGAAAATAGACACCAACCCAGGAGCTGGAATCAAAATGTTTTTCCAGTTTTGTTTATATAATCAAAGTTAATATCCTATAACTTGGCAGGTTGAGAGCTGATAGCCAATAAAAAAAGTTAATGTAAACAGGACATAAGCCTGCTATCCTCAATTTTTATATAAGTCTGACCCAAACAAAATCACTATTTCCTTCAATGAGAATTTTACATAAGTAAAGCCCATAAGCCACCAGATAAAGATTTAGAAGTTAGTTTCCAGTTGAGGTAAAGTTCAGCACAGCAAGTTTACAGTGTATGGGCCAGGGTGAGGCTCTATTTTGGGCTTCTCTCCCCAAGTCCTTTTTGGCCAGAGATTTTGTATTGGTGCTGCCTGCCACTGTTTCAATTTAAATGGTAGTAGCAACAGTAGGAGAACTAGTGTAGATAAGGCACTGGCAGTATTTTAACCATGGTGTCAAGTAAAGTTTATGTGAGTAGTCTTAGATAACACTGTGCTTAATATACTGACAGCTGCCTTAACTCCTAGTCACTGTTGCCACGAGTGGTAGAGTTGGAGCAACACTGAGAAACTTGACAAAAAAAGCTAGTTCGGACACAGGCTTAACTCACCTGGTCAAACTGCAGAGCAGGAGAAGCTTATTCCTAGGCCTGCAGTGATGTGTGCGTTTAGCGGGGGGTGGGGGGAGAGGAAGATTCTGAATCTGGTTTGTCTCTATAGCAATGTGTCAATTGTGACTTACAAAATATTAGGAAAGAAAGATATTAAAAAGTCATACAAAAACAGCTTTACCTGTCATTTGAGCTGCACTTATAAATTACTTGTTTTTAAATATCCACACAGCTGCTGTACCGAGAACTGGTGAACAACAAACCGGGAATCAGACAAGTGATACAAGTTTTAAAGGAAGAAGAACTGAGCAAAGTGACTATGACGAATTGGTAATTGTACTTATTTTTCAGTTTTCTCAGAACAGTTCAATACCCATGAAGCCTCTGGGCCAAGTTCTCCTCCCAGTTTTATGGGTGCAACTTCCCTGGACTTTAGTGGGAGCTGCCCTTGTGTGACATAGAGCAGAATCGACCTGATATTTGTAAATAATTGAATTTTGCTGAATTATGCAGTTCTCTCAGGTTAATAAAGAGGACATTGAATAGTTTGCTTAACCCTGCTATACTGTGGGCTGGAGCCTGAGTACAGCCAGGCTAAGCAAAATTTCCAAAAGGGGATCTCCCTTGGGATTGAGGGATGGAAAGCTTCCCTTGGTATGCAGGTCATGGCCCATCCTATAAACATGATCAGCTGTAGGGCTTACTACCATGTAACCCCATCAAAATTAATGGGCTTATTCACAGCAGTAATCCATATGTGAAGATATGTTTGCAGAATTAGGCCATTAGCTATTTCATGGCTGTAACTATAGCCCCTGGACGATAGTAGTAATTGCTTCCCCTATGATCTGTCTACAAGAGGGATTATGGGTGGTGAATTTGCATGATTATGGATCAAGTGGCCACTCTCCTCTCCCTCAACCCAGGATCAGGCATTGTCATGGAGAGTTAGCATGGAGCATTGCTCCTGGAGCAGGATAATATCCTGAGAGAACTTTGAAAAACAGGAAAAGCTTTGAAGTAAATCAGCATCACGTGCAAAATTAAAGGAAGCTATACTTACACCTAAGATATGAATGCTGGAAATATACCTGTCAACTTTAATAAATTCCCAAATAAAAATAATGAGAGAGGAGACAATCCTGGAGCTCTCAGGCTCTGATCCATAAAGGTATTTAGGCTTCTAACCTCTATTGACTTCAATGGAAGTTAGGAGCCTAGATATCTTTGTGGAACTGGGCCTTAGAGCTCAGGTATCGCCAGGGTGACCAGATGTCCCGATTTTATAGGGACAGTCCTGATACTGCAATTAAGAGCAATTTTTTTTTAATGGCACTGTTAAATAATAGAATACCAATTGAAATTTATTAAATATTTTGGATTTTTTTCTCTACATTTTCATATATAGTGTTTGTGTTGTAATTGAAATCAAAATATATATTTTTGTTTACAAATATTTGTACTGTAAAAATGATAAAGAAATAGTATTTTTCAGTTCACCTCATAAAAGTACCGTAGTGCAATCTCCATCATTAAAGTTGAATTTACAGATGTAGAATTATGTAAAATAAACTTGCATCAAAAATAAAATGTAAAACTTCAGAGCCTACAAGTCCACTCAGTCCTACTTCTTGTTTAGCCAATCACTAAGACAAACAAGTTTGTTTACATTGAAGGGAGATAATGCTGCCCTCTTCTTATTTACAATGTCACCGGAAAGTAGGGTGACCAGACAGCAAGTGTGAAAAATCGGGACGGGGGGTGGGAGGGTATATAAGGAAGAGACCCAAAAATCGGGACTGTCCCTATAAAATCAGGACATCTGTTCACCCTACCAGAAAGTGAGAACAGGCATTTGCATGGCACTTTTGTAGCCAGCACTGCAAGGTATTTACGTGCCAGATATGCTAAAACATTTGTATGCCCCTTCATGCTTTGGCCACCATTCCAGAGGACATGCTTCCATGCTGATGATGCTTATTTAATAAAAAAAAAAAAAAAAAAAAAAAGGAATTAATTATTTTTATAAGAAATCCTGAGGGGAAAAACTTTAGAAACCCCACTCTATTTACCCTCCTTACC